TAATATGCATTGCTTTCCACCAAGTTTAGGATGGATAATCTCTCAGTAAAAAAAACATCTACTTTAATTACAAAACAGGCTACTTAATTTGTTACCATGGGGGCAAAAAAAATTTTTAAATGCACCCAAACTGACAAAATCAGCAGCACATCTTGCTGCAAATAAAGGTCTTCAATTTACATTTAGTTTTACAGCTTTTTTTCTATTTCCCCAAAATAATATTGTTTATCCGTATTTAAATTGGGCAAGTCCATTTAAGGGATTTAGCATGTGAGAGTTAATGCTTACATTTAATCCTCAAAAATATGCATTTTTATATCATATTTCTTTCAAAAAAGATTTGGTCCCTGATTGAGATTTTTTTTCCCAGATTAAATTCCATCCCCCCAAAAATTTGTTTCCCCGTTAAAAATTTAAATTTGGAAAATTTGACTTTTGGGTAAAAGGAAAAAGCTTTCTTTAAAGGGGTTTTTTCAAAAGGGGTTTTGTGGTTTCACTCTGGTCCCAACACTACCCTGAAAGAATGCAAAAAAAAGGCCCTTTCCCAGTACCTGATATTTTCTTTTACTATTTACCTTTTTAAATGGATTTGGGTAGGGAAATTTTTGCCTTAAAAAATTTTTTTAAATGGTTTTTTTTGTAAACATACAGCCAGATTATATGTTTAAATTTTCTTTTTTTTAAATTAATCAATTTTTTGGGTGCTTAAAAAAAAATTTTCAAATACACTTAAAATTCCAAAATCTTTTAAGCTAACCCTTTTTTCCAGAAGAGTTAGATGTTGATTCTTAATAATTTAAGGGATAAAATGACTGAAGGGTGACTAAGGGTATCGATGTTTGTTAACCCTTTTGCTGCCAGAGGGTTATTTATTTATCGATCACCTATTTGCCAGAAGGTTTTCTAAGAAATTACTATATAATTAATTAATATTTATATTATTATTATTTGTTATTAGTACATTGTATTATAATAATTATATTTGTTTCCAAATCTGCTAGTATAATAATATTAATTATTGTCGATGGTATAATTATCTATATTTTTATTATTATTATTATTATTATTATAATTATTATTAATATCTTATTATTATTATTATTATTATAGAAACAGCAAAAGTCGTCCATATGGCAAATACGCCTAAAATAATAGGGACACCATATGCCGTCCCTATGGCAGTGAAAGGGTTAATGTAAATGACAAATTTTGTGTTTGAAAAAAAAATTGTTAGATATTTTCAGTAGGGTGACTGTGTTATAATATATTATAGTACTTTTGTTAATTTTATTACCACTTTTAATAACAAACTCTAAACTTCCTATTGTTGTGTATATTTAAGGTATATCAAACCCTGACGAAGAGTGGCAAGGTTGAAATGGGAGAGGTAAGGGCTGTGTGTGCTGATCTAGTGTTTGCCTTGTTCATATGCCCAGCAGTATGTGACCCCGAGCCATACGGCATAACCACTGACGTTCCTATAAGGTAAGAAAAAATCAGTTTTTCCATTAGTTCACACTGTGTATGTTGCTACATGTATTTTGATAAAGATAAATCTTGTGATTTTACTCTTTGAGTGTATATGTTTATGTTATGTTTTCTATAGAGAAGTAACACGTCTTTAATGCTGAACTATCGTTTATTAACTGATTTGATACAGAGCGTGGCATGCTAAGATAGGGTTAGTAGGCGGGGCTTATTAGTAATACATTCTGACCAATGAATAGCAGAGTAATACACAACAGTTCTCCCTTCTTAACATTTTAGTCCATTATCATATAATTAATACTAAAAATATAATCAAATAACAAGAGACAACTGGTAGAATCATTTAACAACATGAGATATACGAGATTAATTCATTCGTAAACCAGATCAAACTATCGACCTATTGTTCGTAATTCACCTTTGACTTTTATTACAGTTCACACGAGTTCATTCAGTGGTATGTTTACAACAAAATAGTGTAATGTTTAATTAGATAGCACATTAACTGTCTGTACGCTCTCGAATGTTTATACAGTTACGTAGTCAACTCAGTATGAGAAACGATTAGGTGGTTTGCGTTCTCTCAATGGGTATCATTCGTTCCATTAACATTTGATCTGATCTTTTATTTTCATTTAATGATGGCATTTTCTCAGGATTACCAGGTACTAACAAAGGGTCATTTCTCTCGGTCATAACTGGCATTTCTGACAAATTAAGCGGGATCATGTTTAATGGTGAACTTTCTCGGCGAGAAAGCTCATTATTCATTTTCTGTTTCCCCCGAAAGCGGGTCAACATCCCTTTCTCCGGGACTTGTTTTGTTCCCGATATAAATTTTTATAATAATTGGGATAAAAATTTGTCCTTTAAATTTTTGGTTGAATTCCCTATAGTTCTTCGCCATTTTTATTTTTTTTAAATCAAAAATTTGCAAATTCCGATTTAATTTTCTTTTCTTTTTTTTTCGACAAAACCGCTAAAACCCGGTTTTTTAATAAGCTAATTTGCTTCGAAAAATTTCTCCCCATAAACATCATCGAGGACTTTTTTTTTAGTACAGAACCCGTTTTTAAAAAAAAATTTTCCCAATTTAAAATTTTATTCCTTTAAAAATTTAAATTGTCGAATTCCTTGATTAAAAAAGTGCCGTTCAAACTTTCCCATTAACCTTTTGTGGACGGTTAGCAATGCGGTTTTATAAAAAAGTTATTTTTCAAAAAAGGGAAAAAAAACTGATGTAAATTGTACACCATTATCGCTTACCAATTGGTTTTGGGTGATACCATAACGACTAAATATGGTCCTTTTAATACATTGAACTGTTTTTTCGGGCAGACGTACAATTTCCCATATCCTCTTTTCAGGCCCATTTGCTTCTGAGCACAAACTATTACTAGGAACATATGACCTTGAAATGACCTACAAAGTCTAACATGAAACGCGTTCAAAAATTAGAGCGCGCATTTTCCCATGGTAATTGAAACTTTTTTGGCATTTTCTTGCTTGCAATCTGACAGCCCTGACATTTGTCTCACCATGTGCTTCCAATGTTCTAAGTCTATGCCAGGCCACCAGACATAACTTCGCGCTAAAAATTTTTCATTTTTAAACTATTCCACTGTGGCCCTACAGTGCAGAAGATCTAAAACTTGACCTCTGAGTTTCTCCAGGGAATAACAAACTCTAATTCCCCACATTAAACAGCCTTTTGAATAGTTAATTCGTTCCGGCGCGTGTGATAACCTTTCAGGACAGGGTCATTTAAGTTCAGACTCCAGCCCTTGTTTACATTTTCGTAAAACACGCGATAAGATAGGTTCTCGCTGCGTTTTCACGCTTGATTGCGGCGCTAGTTATAGGAAGTTTATCAAATTGTTCATTGAAAAATACTTTCCTCAAAATTACTTTCATTTTCTAATATTGATTGGCGCGGGCAAACGTGACATTCCATCGACATTAGTATGTTTTCTTAGTACTTTATATTCTATATGATAATCAAAGCCTGACAAATAAACGCCGTATCGTTGTATTCTCGCAGCAGAAGTGGCAGGGATGCCCTTGCTCGGAGAGAATATAGACAACAGTGCTTGACAGTCTGTTATCAGCGTGAATTTTCGACCATATAGATACGGATAATATTTGTGTACTGCCCAGTATATTGCAGTAGCTTCCCTTTGTACTTGCGCGTACATTCTTTCAGACTTTGATAGCGAACGGCTTGCAAATGCAATTGGTTTCTCACTGCCATCGGGCATTACATGTGATAATATTGCAGAAATACCGACAGGGGAAGCATCCGTTGCTAACCGTACGGGTAATTTCGGATCGTAATGTGTAAGGACGGGTTCTGACGTAATCAAATCTTTTGACTTCGCAAACGCGTTTTGACATTCTTTAGTCCAAACAAACTTACGCCCCTTTTCTAGCAGTTGATTTAGCGGTTTAATTACCGTGGCTAGGTTATTTAAGAACCTATGATAGTAATTTAGTAATCCGAGATATGCCCTGAGAGATGTGACATTTTGTGGACGTGGTGTATTTAAAATAGAATCCACCTTATCATTACATTTCCACAGACCGTTTTCATCAATTTCATGACCACAATATGTAATCCTCTCTTGAAAGAACTGACATTTTTCTTTATTCACTTTAAACCATATTTTGACAACCGTTGCACTACTGTTTCTAAGTTATTTAAGTGAGCTTGATCATTTCTCCTGTAATGACCATATCATCGAAATGCACTGTACTCCTGGTAATCCTTGAAGAATTTGATCAATTGTTCTTTGCCATATTGCAGGTGCTGATGATACTCCATATGTCAATCTATTATAAGAATATAGACCTTTGTGAGTGTTAATCGTTAACATTTCTTTTTTGTTTTGTCATCGCACTCCAATTGAAGATATGCTTGGCGTAAATCCAACTTTGAAATATTTCTTTCCATTTACCAAATTCGCGAAAATGTCCTCTATTCTCGGAAGTGTGGTATTTATCTACATTTATAGCTTTGATTTACGGTGACTTTGAAATCTCCACAAATTCTTACTCCTCCCGAAGATTTAACAACGGGCACAATAGGTGTAGCCCATTCTGATGTATTCACTTTCGTAATAATGCCCTGTTCTTCTAGAATGTCTAATTCCTTTTCTATTTTTCGGCTTTAACGAATATGGTACTGGCCTAGCTTTTACGAATTTCGGTGAAGCATTCTCTTTGACAGATAGCGTTGCTTTAATATCTTTAACTTTCCCGATACCGTCGGAAAACACTGACTCATATCGCTTCATAATATCGGCTATACGTGTTTGTGTTGAGTGATCATCAATTGAATTCACATGTACAATACGTGACCAGTCCAATACAATTTCATTCATCCAGTCCCGTCCAAACAATGCGGGACCGTTGCCCATGACAATACACAGTTTCAGCGATTTTGACTGTCCATTGTACCTTACATTTACCAGTTTTTGTTCCGGCTTGCTGTATTTCTTCACCAGAATATGTCTTTAACACTGATGTGGGCTTATCCAATGTAACATTTCCAAAAACACTTCTGGAACTCTTCTCTTGACATCAGAGAAACAGCTGAGCCCGTATCGACTTCCATTTGTAAGGGTCTGTCGTCTATCTCTTGGTGTGATGGTGATTTTCCTGCTCGAACCTTTGGTCACGGAATTTATACTCATCACAGGAACGTCGTTGTTGTTCATGGCATGTACGTCTCGTGCACGTGCTTTCAGACAAATACTTTTTATGTGTCCATGTGCATTACATGCATGGCAAATGGCATTCTTAAATCGGCATTTGAAAGATGCATGATTATCTTTACCACAGTGAATGCATTTTCCGTTTTGTTTCCCGGTCGAGTTTGCGGTCGCCTGTTTTTGCCGTGGCCTGTGTTCAACTCTTCTCGAAGGTTTCCTTTTCTCAACCTTATTTACACTTGCGGTCAACGACTGAAGTTCTGCGGCGTCCCTCGTTGCTGTTTCCATAGCAACTGCTGTTTCAACAGCCTTCTTTAAACTTAAGTCTTCCATCGACAATAGTTTACGCTGTATGTGCTCATCTTTAAGTCCACAAACTAAGCGGTCCCGTAACGTATCGTTTAGGCTGGCTTGGAAATCGCAATGTTCTGCCAATTTCCTCAGTGTAGTTACATAATCATTTACACTTTCACCCGCCGCTTGGTTTCGTTTGTGAAATCTAAATCGTTCAGCTATAATCAATGGCTTTGGGTTAAGATGTTTATTCAATAATTCACAAAGATGGTCATATGACTGTGTTGAAGGTTTGTCCGGTGATGTCAAATTTCGAAGTAACCCGTAAGTTTTTTCTCCAAGTAAAGTTAATAAAGCTGGAACTTTTTTCTCATCGTCTATTTCATTTACTAAAAAGTACTGCTCTAAACGTTCTTGATAGCATGTCCATGATTCTGAATTGCCATCAAATCCAGATAAATGTCCAATTAATGCAGCCATTTTAAAACTTATAAATTAAATCCAGAATTTTACACATATTATGATAATTACATTAATATCTAATAGATAAAATCCCCGAAATTTAATGTTCAATTATCCTCGTCGCCAGATTGTTATGTTTTCTATAGAGAAGTAACACGTCTTTAATGCTGAACTATCGTTTATTAACTGATTTGATACAGAGCGTGGCATGCTAAGATAGGGTTAGTAGGCGGGGCTTATTAGTAATACATTCTGACCAATGAATAGCAGAGTAATACACAACAGTTTATTTTTGATCGCCAACAAAAACTCAGTTACATGTAATTCACTCCAGAATTTTTTTGGCGATAGTTCGCAGGATACAAGAATAACTCCATTCCAGGAGACACAACAGGTCTCAAGGATATTAAAATTATTCTAAGGAATTTCATTGGGCAGTTTACATTCTGTGCTGGTTTCTGACAAATTGAATATAGTAGAACTTTGCTATGTTAAAGTTGAAGGAACTAGCTTAAAAACTTTGAGACATCAGGACTTTGACTCATGTACAGGTCTCGATTTAATGACAAAATTTTGAGCCGTAGACTTTTACAAGTGACTCACAAATCAAGTAGCAAAAGGAAAGGTTCATAACTCAACCAGCACATAGTAAATGTATCCCTAGTGATAATCATATGACACAAGGTCATGGAAGATCCAAAACTTAATTAATTCCTAATGTTCATTTTCAAATATAACTACGGCAATTAAATCATCACACTTCATGCAAATTATCACACAAGAGATCGCACTTTGGTTAAGTTTTTGTGTGCAAGTTGGTATCTCCAAAACTACCAAAGGGAAGGGTGTGAAACTTCACACACTTATTTGAGAGCTTAATAGTGAGTCACAATCTAAGACCCATAACTCTTACATGGAATTTGACAGAATAATGGCCCATTTTTGAACCTCCAGGCTCAAGAAGTCACAAGCCAGAATAGAAAAGTAAATGACTTCCAAATTACCTCGAACAGAAGCCCTGAAGCACTGACAAACAACATGCATGCTGTCCTACTGACAGCTCTTGTTTTTAACACTTGATATTGACCATATGTGCTCATGAATGTGTTGTACTTTTGTTTTCAGCCATATAGCAAGGCATAACTTGATGCAGATGGCACAGATTATACAGGTGCTGGCAATATCACAGTGGGAAGAGATAGACCCTAAACTGCATGATCTGTATGGTAAATTTGAAAAGGTAAGTTCCTAGTTAAATTGGTGTCCATGGCAACATGTCATTAAAGGCTAGCCTCAACACTTAACCAGCTAAATCTCTAAAATGGACCTTTCTTAGTAATGTTTTAAATATTGCACTATTCTTAAAAAATGAATCTTAAAAAAAATGTAAATTTTGAAAGGGATAAAGTCTAAAAAACCATTCACTTTCTTGTTTCAGCACTTAATTTATACACAAGTTTTTTTTTTTACTACATGTATATATTTGTATCAATATATTTTGTTACTATTTATAGGGATGCATGTCGACATTGCTGGATTCACTGCTCGATGGTATAGGGGCGGAGCTTCCATCAGTCAGTAGTGCTCAGTTACCTTGTTTAACCAGAACCTCGTCCCTTATACAGTTGTCTCACCTCAACACTCTAGTGAGTATATTACTATAGAGGATATTGAGTGAGTGTAAGTTCAATATTGAATTTATTGAACAAGTTGACTAAAATTATTATAAGTGAGCCTCTGGCGAGCATAATATTATTTTATTTAACAAATTAAATAAATTCAGTGATGAACCTACACGAATTTAATATTCTATTTATCACATACCCAAAATAAAGACTGTTTAAAGTGAAAAAGAATCATTTTTCATTGACATGCATATAGTGTAACGCTTAAACTTATTGCGCATTTACACTATGTTTGTATAACGCAAATATTGTCATGTCAAAATAATTATATACATGGCCGCACAATACCATTTTTATTGAGTTGCAAAAGCGGCACGGGTATGTGATAAACATTTAAATGATATTTCTGATATGATTTTTTTTGCAGCCAAAAATAAGATAAATGTTAGTCTTGAATTCACAACAATAGCAATATTGCTATAAAAATATTCTCTGATAACAGTCAACTTATCATGGAAATGGCTCAACAGCCTGGAGTAATCTATTTATTTACTTTCTTACGCAAGATAATGTGAGTTTGAATCAAATGCAGAGAACAATTTTTTAGCTTGATTATTTAAAGAAAAGTCTGGTGTCGGTGTCAAACTTTGGTTAAGTTTTTGCAAGCAAAGTTGGTTGCTTCAAATCTAGTTGAATGGAATTGGTTGAAACTTCAGACACTTGTTTGAGAGCATAGTAAGAGGTCACTGTCTAAGATCCATAACTCTTACACTAACAGCTCTTGTTTATCTGATGCAATTTTGCATGATTATGTTAAGAATTGACCTTGTTTGTTGAAACAAAGTTACATCTGTAGTTATTGTCCCTCATAACCAGGAAAACAAATACGTTAAGTAATAAATTATTTATAAAGATAGCCAATCAGTTAACTATGTGCAGTATATGCAACTGCATGTGTTATAGTACAAAAATGACAACTGGGAGAATTACATAACGGGCTATACAATTACTTGAAATTTTTCAGTTAGACTTAATTCATGCCCTGAATTCAAGTACATGTAATTTGAAATTTGGATCAACACTTCATGTCCTGAATTCAAGGAATTTGAAATTTGGATCAACAATTTGTGCCCTGTATTCAAGCAATTTGAAATTTGGATCAACAATTTATGCCCTGTATTCAAGCAATTTGAAATTTGGATCAACAATTCATGCCCTGTATTCAAGCAATTTGAAATTTGGATCAACAATTCATGCCCTGTATTCAAGCAATTTGAAATTTGGATCAACAATTTATGCCCTGTATTCAAGCAATTTGAAAAAAATTGATCAACTTTACATATCTTGAATGCTGTAGATAATGTTCTGTCTTATTTCAGGTATCCTTCCTGCGGTCTGCTCTACCATTTGTAGAGGACAGCACAGAAAAGAAATGTCTCGATGAACTGTTATCATCGCTGGTAATTGTCACACTACAGACACCTATACAGAACCCTCTGTCTATGATTGGTTCCCCATCCTCCAACACCCCACCTGGTACCCCTGTCACTCAGAAAAAAGGGAGAGGTAAGTTGAGTAATATGAGTAAGAATTTTAATTTGGTGCTTGGATCATATCTACAGTGAAACTTCTATGTGTCAAACTTCGATTAGGGGACTTTCTTGATGTGTCGAAGTAAGATGAAAGTTCTGATTTTTTTCCTGTGCCTGAAATAATTGACCCTCGCAAAGCAGAGGTCTGTGACATCTTTTTAGCTCACCTGTCACAAAGTGACAGGGTGAGCTTTTGTGATCGCTTTCCGTCCGGCGTCTGTCCGTCGTCCGTCCATCCGTAAACTTTTACTTTAAATGACATCTCCTCATAAACCACTAAGCCAATTTCATCCAAACTGTACAGGAATGTTCCTTTGGTGGTCACCTTTAAAAATTGTTCAAAGAATTTAATTCCATGCAGAACTCTGGTTGCCATGGCAACCGAAAGAAAAAACTTTAAATATCTTCTTTTAAAAACCCGTAAGAGCTAGAGCTTAGATATTTGGCATGAAACATCTTCTAGTGAGTGTCTACCAAGTTTGTTCAAATAAAAAGCCCTGGGGTCAAAATTGGCCCCGCCCCAGGGGGTCATTGATTTTCCCTATATGCATATAGTAAAAACTTAAAAAATCTTCTTTTAAAGAACCCAAAGAGCTAGAGCTAAGATATTTAGCATGAAACATCTTCTAATGAGTGTCTACCAAGTTTGTTCAAATAAAAGCCCCGAGGTCAAAATTGGCCCCGCCCCAGGGGGTCATTGATTTTCCCTATATGCATATAGTAAAAACTTAAAAAATCTTCTTTTAAAGAACCCAAAGAGCTAGAGCTAAGATATTTAGCATGAAACATCTTCTAATGAGTGTCTACCAAGTTTGTTCAAATAAAAGCTCTGGGGTCGAAATTGGCCCCGCCCCGGGGGTCATTGATTTTCCTTATATGTGTATAGCAAAAACTTGAAAATCTTCTTTGAAAAAACCCAAATAGCTAGAGTTTAGGTATTAAGCATGAAACATCTTCTAGTAAGTGTCTACAAAGTTTGTTCAAATAAAAGCCCGGGGGTCAAAACTGGCCCCGCCCAAGGGGTGTCATTTATTAACTATATGTGTATAGTAAAAACTTAAAAAAACCCAATGAGCTAGAGCTTAGATGTTTAGCATGAAACATCTTCTTATGGGTGTTTACCAAGTTTGTTCAAATAAAAGCCCTTGGGTTAAAATCGGCCCTGCTGGGGAGGGGGAGCTATATACAGGTGAAGGACTTCAGGGCCATCATGGCACTCTTGTTTTAGTTATAAGGTTGCTATACCACACATAGTAGTGTTTACTTAACTTAAAATCTACCGAGCATTATTGATGGGAGACTTTCGTGATACTATGACATAAATCTCCAGTACGAATATGTGTCACTGTTTAGTTGTTAATTTCCCCATGTAATGTTATCTGAGTAATGTTCATTACAAAAAATCTTGATTTTAAATACAGAGGATGAATTTTTTATTACAAACTACATTGTATTTAGCTTGCAAAAGCTTTGTGATCATGCTACAAGCGTTTTGCTGAGCCTGAAATGATGCTCATTTGGACATGTGTAGGTTTCCTTGACCAAATAGGAGTTTATAAGTTGCCATATGACATTTATCCTTTATTTTTCATAAAATTAATTACTCATTAGTTTAAACATGTTTTTTTAGCAAGTTACAAGCATGTATCATTTTACATGACAATATATATATATGGATTGGAAATCAAGCTTATCACTTTTCCTAGAATAATTCTTCAAGGACATATGTAATAAATTTTCATTTTTAGAAGTTTGAAATAATAAATAAAATGTTCTGAAGAATTGAGTACATTCTAATTACTAAAGGCCAAAATCTGGGACTCTCATAATCATCTTTTTGGACTTATTGGTGAGGATAAATATTAGTGAATTTCTGCTTCCAGTTGTGTTAAATTATTGTGATACTTAGATACTGATCTTTGTGAAAATTTCAACTTGTGAAACTAAATCAATTGCAAAATAGACTGATTTTACAGCTAACAAGTTTGATAACTTTAATGAATATAACATGACTTGTATGATTATCTAGGTAAGAAAAAGATGTCTGTTGCCTCAGTGATGAGTCAGATCAGTCACGTGTCAGATGAAACTGCTAGCATATCATCAATGTCTATAGATACACCGGAAGCACAGCCCACCAATCAGATGGAAGATGTTCTCGTCTTATCTCTCGGTCATGACTTAGAATGTCCCGGTATGATGTCCGAACAAAAGGTGAGTCATAATGTTGGGGTTTTTTTTTCTGAAATTTTTCTATGGTGACATCATTGTTTTGTTTATGAATTTATAATGAAGAGTGTAGAGTTTTTTTGTGGTATTTTATGTACTTTTTTTGTTAAGCTTATTTTATTACACTGAAGTTTCAATGTTTTAAGACTGCCTCCGTGGTCGAGGGGTTATAGTTAATGACTTCTAATCCATTTACCTCTCTGGCGTTGGTTCGATCCCTGGGAGATGCTTTGGTAGTTTAGCACGGAGGAAGGTAGTCTAGTACTGGTGTAACTCTCCAGGAACGATGGTTATGAAACTACCCGCCTATATGACTGAAATACTGTTGGGAAAAGGCGTAAAAAGAAACAAACAAACAAATTCACTGTTTTAATGCTCTTTAATGGAACTTCACAGAAAAATATGCAAAAGATGATTAATTTATATGCTAAGAAATAGTTGGAAAATCGTCTGGACAAAACCATTAATCAATTTTTAGGAAAAAAAGTAAAAAAATATGTAATGACTGAAAAGTGGATGCTACACACTTAACCTTACAAATTAGCTGATATGAAAATGATTTCAAATAAAAGTACTCTCAGTTTATTTGCCTCTGAGTCTTAATCACTGTAAGTTATTTTCATTACAAAAAAACATATTAATAATTGTTATATTTCTTTTGTAGGTTTTATCTTGTGAACAAGAAAATAAACGCAGGAGAGTGAAATATCAGACAGTTCAGGGGGGTTTTGAAGTGGGACCTGTTGAAATACAGGAGAAACGGACGAGATTCTCACTGTCACATGACCAGGAATCTATAGGTAATAGTTTGACAACTATTTCTTTCGTGTTTTTCATAAAAGGCAAAGGTTGAAGGCATTTAATTGTCTTAAACAAGTTTCAAACCAAGAATGTGTTGACCATCTTCATAGCTTTACTTCTTGTTACAAGGTGACTAGAGAGTCTTTTTACTGTACCTTTGGCAGTACACATTATGAAGTCTACGATTTAAATCTTAATCTTAGGTACTTTACCTATTAACAGTCCGAAGAAGTAAAATGGAGAATGATGGAATCCCTAAAGAATGCTAAAATGACAAAGTTGAAAATGTTGAAGGCTCGGTTTGATTGACGGTACTGGAAAATGCAAGTAACTGTTCATGCCCCCCTAGCACTGGCTTAAGCAAAATACTTGCTTAACAAAATTTTTGATGAAAAAGAATGACTGGATAATGAGTTCAGGGCAGAAATTGTGTCTTTATGGCCAGTTTCATACACTTTGCACTCATCAGATTAATTAAAGACTTTATTGTTTTTCTGCACTTGTGAAGCAACTTTGTCGGGTTTTTTTACAATATGGTATAGCATTGATAATAGCAATGTCAAACTTCTAGTGGCAACATTTTGATAAAGAAAATGAGTTTGCAGTAAGGCTCAGTCATTAGACCTTTCCATCCTGATGTGCATGTTCTACCATTGGACTGCTGCTCCACTTACTTTTTGTGTTATATCTCTTGTTATGTTCTTTGATTTCAAAATAGAGAAAAACATTATCCCTACAGAATGCCAAAATGTTGCAGGCTCGGTTTATTTGAGTCTGTTCATAAATGGTAGTGATAATTGCAAGCTACAGTACAAACCTGTTTGAGGATATTCGTGGCAGGTCTTTCTCTGTAAAAAAATATTTTAGGAAGGGATTATTTGTCACAGATTTATTTCCTTATTCTAACGTAGGTAACACAAGTGACATTCCAGAAGCTATATCAGAAGGAGCATCAAGCCACTCTGTAGGTTCACAAGATTTAGAGAACGATGATGACAATGATAACTTCTCTGATATGATATCAGCAAATGTTAGTGGGCGGGGCACACCAAACATCAGTGGGAGTGGTCGTGACACGCCCCTTTCTCAGGCCGAGAGTGAGCAAGAAGTAGTGTCTCATCCACAACCTGCCTTGCCTGAAACTGTGCAAAAGAAGAATAGAGAAGATGTCACGGAGAAGTTTGGGAAATTCGAAATCAAGGAACTGGACTGTAAGTTAATTTTCTTAGTTTTATCTTTTAGTATCTACACTTGACTCATTTTGAATATGATATATATAATATGGCCATAGAAGTCTGTACTGTTGTTTTACTTGGAAATACCCCTGCTTAGCTTAGTAGGGTGAGGCGAAATTACAATCGATCTTAAACATTGAGTCTTATTGGTTATTTGTCTCTCATAGCTGATTTCAGAAATTATTTTGAATTGATATTTAATAATTACATATCCAGAAAAGCCGATCTTGGCAACTAACTGCAAAGATATGACCAAAAAATGCATAAAAAAGGGCATAAAAACCAAACAAAAACATATTTTTACAAAAAAATAAATATTTAATTGTTTTTACCACAGTTTTAATGGTCTGTTAGTGATGCATTAGTCAATTGGTTAAGATGAAAGCCTTTTGACTCAGGGGGACATAAAACATAGTACACTTAAGGCTTTATGTTCATGAAGACAGGAAAAACTGTATAGTTAAACCATTACAGATGATTTAAAATCAACTGTTAGTGACACATGGAGTACTGATGTGTTAGCCAGTGATTCTGAGCCTCCAGAAGGTAACCAGTCTGTCAGATTAGAAGAAATAGCTGAGGAAATGGTGCGACAGCATCTGCTTGCTGAGGTAAATATCCATTTATTTATCACGTTAACCGAAGTGCAGAAATGTAATAAAGCCATTTAATAAAAACAATATTACACTAGTGTAATAACACTGACATTTGCGTTTTATACAAAAACATAGCATAAAACGTGCTTATGTTAGCGTTACACTATAGGCACGTCAATAAAAAGATTCCTTTTAACAGTTCACTGTTGTAATTTTAGATATGTGTATTTAATAGAATATAATAGTGTAGACATGATACTAAATGTATTGAACCTGTTGAAAAAAACAATATTATGCTTGCCAGGGAGGCTCGCATAATATGGTTTTATTCACCTTGTTCAATAAATTTAGTATTAAACCTACACTCATTCAATATTCTTTATATATTATATATAGCAGTGCTGGAAAGATATGGTGTTGTGAAAGACAGTTACTTGATGCAACACTTCCATCAATGTTCATTAGAGTATGTTTGAAATAATGTAGGGAAAAAGGTAGCTAAGGTCTGCCTTAATCCAGAAAAAGTTGGCCTGTTTAGCTCAATAGAGATAGCGTAGGGTCACTGGTTGGATCTTCAAGCAAAATTTCACAATGACCATTGATCTCAGACATTAGAAATTGTGTGGGATAAGTAGTCTGTCAGTTGCTGAGAAATTGGTAATCACTGGTTAGTTATCCAGGAAAGTTGATTAGGTGGAGCAGGATTGAAGACATAAATATGACATTTAAATCATGTTAAGATTAAGGTAAATACCAGAAAAACAAATTCTTTTTTTTATGTGTTTGTGTATTTTTGAAATGATGAGGGGGAGGGGGTGGGGCAGGTGGCAAGGCTCAGCTTTAAAGTCACCATATAACTTGCTGGCATTCCAGCAGTGCTACAGGAAAGTGACTTAAGGTAGCAGTGATTAATCTAGAAATTCCTTACAATGCGTCGGATGACGCACATGTTTGAAATCAATGAGTCATGTAGCAAAATAAATGCGTCTCAGCAGAAATTTTTTTTTAATAGCAGATCCTTGACATGATTTGCATGTTTTTAGAACAAGTGATTAAGTAATTAAAGTGTATAAAAAAGGTTATTTTTTGTACTAATATTAATTGCAGGAAAAACAATTTTTATTGGCTGCTCAAAAATCTAATTTGCATAATTTATATTTTCTTACTACTTATGTCTAATACTGTGCATTATCCATTTTAATTGTTCGCAATTTGCACAAAATGTCCCTGTCACACTGCATACATACTGACGACTTTTATTGCTCCTTCTATGCCTCTGTGTAGAAAGCATACACAGACAGACCTTTTGATCATGAAAAAAAGTCATGCACAATGTTTCCCTGATTGGTTAATCACCCTGTCAAATATTCTGATGACGTAATAGACATCTTTTTATTTTTTTTTTTTTACACTCCGCGTGAACTTGAGTGACCTTAGGGGAAATCGTAACTTACAGCATTTCTTAAAATAGCAACACTTTTTTTTCAGCAGGTATATATGTTAATATACATACCTGTTTTCAGTTACCAATAATTATTTAAAATATTAAGTAGATTAATGATTTTTTGTTTGCTTTATTGGATTAAATTTACGGTAGTAGAAATGCGGCAGTAGAAATGCTTATCTGTGTGTGAAAGGGATAAAGTAAGTAGTTAGCTTGGAAAATGCTATAGGGAAATGGATAAACGTAATTACAGGGGAATGGGTAACCTGTTGCTGTTGGTACCAGTTTTGTCTGGATGAGTAAATAACATACAATATAAGTCTGGCACAGATTTTAGATGCGCCCTTGGCCCTTTGCTGACGATTTTCCTGTGCCATTCTCATTTTTAGCGCCAATGGCGCAGGCAGATCTCTGCATATTTCACCATTGTAGGCGATTCGCTCTCAAGCAAAATAGACTCTCTGATTGGCTAATGCCGATAATGGGCGGTTACCGATCACACACAACAATTGCTTGGGATTTAATGTTTCAAGCAAATGGGGGATTAGTCTTGCACCTATAATCATCGGAAATTAAATTATTCAACTGAAGAAATTGAAAAATTATTTCACAAATAATCAATAAAGTAATCAAATGGTACATAGAAATCACTTATCTTGATATTTTGGATTATAAACTACCTGATTTGCATGCGTCAAATTGAACGCACATATTTTGAAACTGTGCGTCTTTTTCGATTTTTATGCGTATTTTACGCACGACGCACATCTAGATTAATCACTGAGGTAGTCTTACTGTAATGCTTTCCCGTCAAAAAATTTCTAGCTTTGGCATATATCGTAATAAATTGGTCATTCCCGGAACATTATTTTTCACAATCTTCGGTATTCAATAATTTTTACTGTTTATAACCAGAATTTAGTACATAGCGATAAAGGATGAATGATTGTAAATAATCCTATGTCCCAAGATTTTGGAAAAATAAAGTACAGGAAATAACCAATTGGGTACACTGTTGGCTAAAGTTAGAGTTATTTGGAAGGAAGCATTACAGTATGACTACCTTAATTTACACAATTGTAAGTTATTGTTTCTTTATTTTACAATTTTACAAAGAGTATCCAAAATTCATTGTAGTTATCATTGTGTTATTTTACAGAGAGTATCGGAGATCTCAGAAACAGCAAGTGATGCATGGAGTACAGATGTACTCGCCTCTGATAACGAAGAGAAACAGGCGGAAACATTCTCTGAGTTTGACGACATGAGCAGTATGGCCGAGACCGCAAGTAATTTAGATGATGTGAGGAGTGAATGTGATGGCACTGAGGGAAATGAAGTTACTCCCCTTGCTTCTGGTGAGAATCTTTTCATGCTTTCAGAAAATTTTCGGTAGGGCATATAATTGGAGAGAAGTGGGAGCATATAATTGGAGAGAAGTGGGGGGGTAGAGGCATATAATTGGAGAGATGGGGGCACATAATAGAAGAGAAGTGGGATGTGGGGGCATAATATTATAATTTGGGAGAAGTGGGCATGGGGGCATATTATAGAAGAGAAGTCGGATGTGGGGGCATATAATTTGGGAGAAGTGGGCATGGGGACATATAATAGAAGAGAATTGGGATGTGGGAATATATAATTGGAGAGGAGTGGGAATGGAGGGCATATAATTAGACAGAAGTGGGGACACGTTATTGGAGAGAAGTGGAGGGGAATGGGGGCATATAACTGAAGAGAAGTGGGTGTATATAATTGGAGTGAGAGAGAGAGAGTGGGTGGGTGTTGTTACGATGTCTTTCTGTCAGACTTACTGCTTTTGATGCACCATCATTTATTGACTGTTGTATTAGATATTTTATATTATGATAAATTTCATGTTCTTAGGTTTCAGAATGATTGGCTCAAGGCCATCAAGGATAAAAATAGATTTTCCTCTATTTTCTCTCGTATTTAAGCTTTGTCATAGAGACAATGGAAAGCATTCATTTGTGTTACCAATTTTCTCTTTCCAGCGAATTGTTCTTATTTTGAATAAATTGGGTTTTTTTATGTGAAAAACCCAGAAATTTTTTTACTTTAAAGGGAAAAATGGTGGTGGAATTTTAAAAGAAATTTTTGTGTATAAATGTGCCCTTAAATTTAAAGTGAAATTTTTTTTGAAAGGTTTTCCAAAGCCCCAAATAAAGGCCAAAAACGGTGACATTTTTCCCCAAGCAGGGGGAACAAATTTGGCGGGGGGGGAAAAATTTCCGAAACGTCTGAAAATTTTCAGAAAGTCCCCAATTTTTTGACGTGTTTTTTTTCTGACATAGCGTGGAAGCCGAAACGCAAGGGGCCCAAAGGGGGAAAACTCCCCCAGAAAAATATTTTTTTCCAAAATGGATCAAAATTGATTTTTTTTTCCTAAAAAAGAAAAAAAGGGGCCCCCTTTCCCCGTGGTTTCGTCCCAGGGCCCAAGGGGCATGATAGTGGGGGTTAAAACCCCAAATTCACCCAATAGAAATAGATTGTAGTTTTTTATTTAAAAACCCTAAAACCAATGAGTGCTACAGAATCCTATAGTAAAAAGTCCCAATGAGAATTGGAAAAAATTTAAAAATTTAAGGTTCTAATAAGCAGGTTCCTTTCTTTCGACATCAAGGTCTAGAACCAAAAACGCGATTTTGTAACAAAAAATCGCAAGAAGTGATAAGAAAAATAGGAAAAATGTATCAAATTTAAAACTGAAAGAAAATTTTAGTGATATACAAAATGGCCTGTATATGGCGGAAGAAAATAGACCATTGTCGAAAGACTCGGGAGTAGGTTCAACACAGTACATAGATTCTGTGGAATCCGGAGACGTCAAGTTGTCGGAGCAGCAAAACATGAACGTTGATGAAAACCGTTTCTCAGCTGCACTTAGTCTTTTTGACCCGTTAACACAGGATGATAATACTATGGCTAGTGGCGATCTGTTAGAGGGAGCCACTAGTCCACCATCGGGGCACGCGTTTCAAAAGTTTACGAATTCAAACTTTCAACAAAATTCTGCCAGTGAGCCATTGATATCCGTATCAAACGAGAATGATTCTAGTCAGTTTAAATTTGACCTTCCTTCGTCCGGTATCAAGGAAAAGGGAGATGTGAACAGTGCCTGTGATATTTATCTACACTCAGACAGACAGACGAAAAGACGAGGAAGTTCGGACAGTAATAAATCGTCTGGATCCAGTCTGTCCAAAGATGATGGGGATAGATCCAGTCTAGATAATAACCAACAAAGAGTTGATGATAAGGTAATGGAAATATTTATTTAATTATTTCAGAGAAAACAAAAAGATGGTAAAGGAGCTTAGTAATTGATAAAGATCTGATTTTTTCTTGCATATCAGACAGGATTATCTACTGTTCACACCCTGTCTTACATTCCCTGTGTAAGACAAGTCAAATGCCTAAATATAAAATAATGTCATTCCTGCGCATCATCTTTTTGAGATGACATCATTTTGCTGTTATAAATGAAGTTTGTAAATTCATAGGCTACTGTAAAGTAAAAAGTGCTAAATGAATATATCAGTTTTCATCCGCGCAGTCTGATCAGGATCCATGCTGTTCGCTTACCAACCCTATTAAAAATAGAGAAACTGATAGCGAACAGAAATGGATCCTGACATCAGACTGCGCGGATGCGCAGGCAGTCCTGGGGAAAATTGTTGGGCCCGCAAAATCCAAACTTATGGTTTTTTTGGTTTTGGTCATGACAAGGCTTCATAATAATTTTTTAATGAAAATATTTTGTATGTAAATGTGCAGAATAGAGGGTCCAAACCACCGGGCTTTGTCACTCAGATGGGAATAACTAGCTCTTGGGTTGCTGTTAAGCAGAAAACTCATTTCATTCCATAATGTTTGAATAATAAAGTGTTGCCTAATTTTTAAAAACTGTGATAGTCTATATGTATAATCAAACATAAAAAGAAAAAAAAGAGAAGAAAATTATTGATATATATAAATAAAAAAGAAATTAAAACAAATATAATAAAGGTATCTAAAAATATTGTTTCAGAAGGTACATACTCAATATAGATGCTACTAGAATTAATGATAACTTTTTGTGTTATGGTCAGAGAATAAAATTTTTTTTTGGCCTTGGGGGGGGAATGCTTTTTTTACCCGAGCCAGCAGTAAATGCTTGATAATAAGGTTATGAATTAAATGATTGACCTACAAGTAACATATGGTTAAAGCCTGGCTCAATAATTAAACTGACTTTGATAATGGCTAAATGTTTACAAAATGATGCTTTTAAAAAATAAACAAGATGTTTTTTGGGTTTTGCACATAAAAAGATTGTAGGTTTTAGATTAAAATTATTATGAAGACAACATTAAATAGTGAAATTTTTTTTTACGACTTTTATGTCTATGTATTTTTTTTATTTGGCTTTATGAGGGTTTTTTTAAAAATAAATTTTTTCTTTATTAATTTTCCGGAATCCCTAAGGAGAGGGAAGTCCCCACCCCTGGCAAAAAGGGGGGACTGTTTAAAACATTCAAAGATAAGATACACAAAGGTATGTGTCATTATTTTGTTTGTTTGGTGTGATTGAATGCAGAAAAATAAGTTTAAACAATGCTTACTGTTCTTTTAGGATGTCTGAATTAAAGTTATATACTACATGGTATTTAAATCCTTTAAAGCAGAAAAATGTGCTCAGTATGGCAAATGAGATCTTCTTCCACCGGTAAAACCCAGTCGCTTTTTGACCAAGAAGTATAATGCAACTTAGAAAATAAAGTACTGTGAAATTACTTGATTTCAATAGCATGAAATTTCATGGTTTGGTTTTCATGCAAAGGAGATTTTTAATGGGTGTTCTTAAATTTGTGGATTGTCTATTTTTACTAAAAAAAGTGAATTGCAACTAATGTATATGCTTCAGCAAATAAAATGAAATTTTGTAGACATATCCATCAAAACTTGTGAAATTAGTGCCCCAAATATAATAATGATTTTGCAGTAACAACAAAAAAAATTGTTTGAATAGTTGTAGATGCCACATCTCAGACAGCTGCAGGTAACAAACAGACAGATAAACACTGTATTATTTTGTGCCTATATCAGTAACTGAATGTATCCCAATTGTATTGCATGTGGTTTTTCTTTATGTTTGTTTTTTTTTCCATAATTTTACTTTATATATTCTTGCATTTATATATTATGTACATGTAATTTGACTTGATAACATATATGTTTATTTGTATGTCACTATATATGTGAGACTTTATACTCCTTGCATATTAGTATTAATATATTATGATAATCTTGATCTAAGACTTGTATGAAAATGCCATATCAGATCTGATTGTATAGATCAGATATAATGTTTTGGAATATTTTATCATTTAATACATATAACGTACATTGTAGAAAACAATTTTCTAGATATTTCAATATCAGAATAAAAATTTATCGAATGTACAAATTGACGTATCCAATAGGTTAATTCACCTCATTTTCTATCCAACACGAAAAGAAGAAAATGGGGTATCAGATCTTATAATATGAATAAGATCTGACAAAACCAAACACTTTTTCATTAAATAATAATGCTGGACATTGTAAAACAATGGTCTTTTTTGTAAATATGTCCCCATTATCAAAATTATGGGCTCATAAACTAAGGTAATCGCGAAGAAAATTTTTCTTATTTTCTTCTATGGTATTTTCTAACAACCAATGAAAATGAAGTATTCTCTAAATAACAGAATACAACAATATGATTGGTCACAACTATCGTGTACAGTAAAAGGTTTATTCTCTTCTATTTTCGTAAATTTAAAATACTTTTCGTCTCGTTTAACATCATTATATGTGGTGGTTGGTCCATCTATCCGATTCTGATAAAGGTTTGAGTGATTTATTAGTGCGTGGTCCGCGAGCTCACATTTTCTCCAGCAAAAAGATGAGTGTATTAAGATATAATCAATGCCGTAAAATGAAACTTTACAAGATAAATACAAGGTAGTCTAACTAGACAAAACTTTTTGATGTATTAGGTTAAGACGCGAACATATTAACATTACGCGAGAGGTAGTTGCCTAAGTTATATACTACAGTATAGGATACTGTATGTAAGTTTCGACCATATATTTTTACGTTTTAAATTTTTGAGTCGGTGCACAGGCCATTGTATAAAGTGTACAAAACCTATTTTAAGTGTTTATTTTTAAAGTGGCCCTAATAAGTGGCCGTGAAACGGTGCTATTGAGAAGTTTATTTATTTATTTATTTTGTAATTTTATTGCTATGTAATTTTAATTGAATAATTTCTTAAATAGGCTGTGCACTAGACTATTTTTATCATACAGTCTCATGGTTATTATCAAAATTGGGAGGTGCTGGCTACAG